TAATATAATATAATATATATATATATAATATAATATAATATAATATAATATAATATAATATAATATTAAAGAACAGATTTTATCAAATCAAATCGACGATTGATATCAGGGAAGGGAAAGGAAATGGACAGTATGGTCGTCCAATCCCATTACGCAAATCAACGGTACCACGCGGTTCTCCGCGTGGGGCCCATCTTCCTTGCCGACTCCCCACGGCTGTCTTAAACCGCAACAAACTTGTCGGTGGGTGTCCCTCGGTCTTCTTCGTTTCAGCCTCCTCCCACTTGCTACTACTGCTACTCTCATTTCCCACACTTGGTTTGGTTTCCTCGTTTACCTCGGCAAGCATGGGCTCCGAGTTCCCCGACGTGGCCGGAGAGGAGCCCTTCCGTGTGTTCATCGGTTACGACCCCCGTGAGGACGTGGCCTACCAGGTCTGCCGCCGCTCTCTCCTCCGCCGCTCCTCCGTGCCCCTGTCCGTCCACCCCATCCGACAGGCCGACCTCCGCGCCGCCGGCCTCTACTGGCGACCCCGCGGCCCCACCGAGAGCACCGAGTTCTCCTTCACCCGCTTCCTCACCCCCTACCTCGCCGGCCACCGCGGCTGGGCCCTCTTCGTCGACTGCGACTTCCTCTTCCTGCACGACCCCGCCGCTCTCTTCGCCCTCCGTGACCCCAGCTTCGCCGTCATGTGCGTCCACCACGACTACGCCCCTTCCGAGACCACCAAGATGGACGGCGCCGTCCAGACCGTTTACCCCCGCAAAAACTGGTCCTCCCTCGTCCTCTATAACTGCGCCCACCGCAAGAACGTCGCCGCCCTCACCCCCGACGCCGTTAGCACCCAGTCCGGCGCCTTCCTCCACCGCTTCATGTGGCTCGACGATGCCGAGATCGGCGAGATCCCCTTCGTATGGAACTTCCTCGTCGGGCACAACAAGGTCGACCCCGCCGATCCCGACAACACCGCGCCCAAGGCCATCCACTACACCTCCGGCGGGCCTTGGTTCGAGCGCTACAAGGACTGCGAGTTCGCCGACCTCTGGATCAACGAGTTGGAGGAATCGAACGCCGAGAAGGCTGCCGAGGATGAGAAGAAGAAAGGTTCCGCAAAGAATAATTAAATGGAAAGGGAGATGCTCCCAGATCTGGTGGAAGGTAGTAGCATTCAGGTATTGTGTTTGGGTCATTCTCCTAAATTCTTTTTCTTGTTGCTAATCAACATTTCACATGTTCTTTTCTTATTTCTTTCATTTTATGTCAATTTGTGCTTCTAATATTGACAATTGCTGTGTTATTTGACCGTTTTATATGATTTCATCCCATGATTGGAAGTGCTTCACTCTCCATCTTTTATTTGTTTCCTTCTTCAATGAAAATGTTTCACCCGGATCAAGGTTTTTGCCTCAAGGTTAAGGATGCTTTACTGTTTGGTTGAATGCAAGAATTGGGAACTGGGCATCTTGTCATCAATTTATGCAGGTAAAGAATCACTTGCCATGGTTTCCCCCTTATCTTAGATGGTCATATATTCTCACACATATATGGAATGAATGCTGTGCCAATTTAGGATGGAATGTCTTTTGGCTCTCTTGTGAACCTGAAACTATCAGGTTTAGAATAAAGCAAATGGAAGTAATTTACTATCTCTGAGAAGAGTATGCCAACTTATTCCTCGAAATAATAATTCTGCACAATTGATGGGGTTAGACCATTGCCTTTCTGAAAATTCAGTATAAATTTGGTTCTTAATTGTTCTGGTATAAAAATGTAATGTACTTACTTTACATAAATTAAAATATGCATTATCGAACCAAGTTTACAATCGGCAGAAATGAAAGCTGAAATCTAGGTTTAAGCAACTCTGTTATGACTCTTCCCTCAGGATGATTCTGTTATTGGCTTTGATGTATGTAATATATATATCTCATAGAGTCATGCTTTGGAATGTCATGCTATATGCTAATAATCATGATTGTGAAAAATGCAAAAAGAAGGTGCTTTTTTTCCTATGTAATTTGGGAGCTTTTGCATGTGAAGTGTTCTACTCATATGCAACAATTCTGTTCTGTTTTGCCTTTCTAGATGTAGTAGGAGTGTATTTCTTTATGTGGTCTAACCTTCAGTTCATTGAAGTTTTGATTTTTGTTTGTTAGAATACAAATTCCTTTTCTCGGTTGTTAGCGTCAGCAAAGTGCAAAGTGGGTGCCACCTTTCATGTGCTGCATGTTCTGTGGCATATTTCTTTGGAATTTGCCAATACTTATGCTTGTTTGTGTTGATGCTGCATCTGCTTCTGCATCCAGCATCGGGGTGGGTCTTTTTACATTCGTTCTGCATCATTGATATGTTGTGTCAACTCTCATGCTTGCTTGTGTTGATGTTGCACCTGCTTCTGCATCCAGCATTGGGGTGGGTCTTTTTACATTCATTCTGCACCATTGATACGTTGTGTTAACTCTCATGCTTGCATCGTGTTGATGCTGCATCTGCCTCTGCATCGGGGGTGGGTCTTTTTACATTCGTTCTGTACCATTGATACGTCGTGTTAACTCTCATGCTTGCTTGTGTTGATGTTGCATCTGCATCTCATTTTTACAATCGTAATAGAGGATTTTCTATCTGCTATCATGCACCCGTAAGATGGTGCTCCTGTCAAGGATACCAATCTTGGATTGATGCAAAGCAAACAGTTTACGAGCCAGAGGTTTCGTGAGTAGGGCAAGAGCAGATCGCTGTTGCTATTATTACTGTCGCTGCGGCTGCGACGACGACGGCAATGGCTACAGCAGAGGAGAAAGCTACAGCAATGGAAAAAGCTATAGCAATACTGTAGCAGAGGAAGAAGCTGCAGCAGAGAAGGAAGTTGCAGAGGAAGAAGCTGCAGCAGAGGAGGAAGTTGTAGCGATGCTATAGCAGAGGAGGAAGCTACAGCAGAGGTGCAGCAAAGGAGAAAGCTGCAATAGAGATGCAGCAGAGGAGGAAGCTGCAACAGAGGAGGAAGCTACAGCGATGCTACAATAGAGAAGAAAGCTACAACAGAGGAGGAAAGGTGAGGCAGTGCTGGTGAGCGCAGCACTAGAGACGCCACAGAAGGGAACGGACGTTGGCGCAAAGTGGCAGTAGAGAAGATAGTTGTCGTTCGCCGAGGAGGAAAGATTTGTCGCACCGACGGCCTGACGACGGAAAAGCAGTAGTAGAAATCTTTTTCTTTTGTTGTCGGATGTGGAGAAGCAATAGTGATGAGTCGACAGCGAGAAGAGAGCTTGCTCTAGACAAGCGGCTCTGATACCATGATGAAAAGAATAAAAGATAAGAAGCTTTATTGAAGTAGCTTTAGCTTAAATATATTAAGCTGTCACTCTCCTATTATTTATACATATTAGAAGGGAGGATTTTCCTCAACAGAATAAAGGATTTTTCTCAACAGAGTAGTTCATATAGTTAGGGAAATCTTTTCTAATATCAGCATCTGCTTCTACATCGAGCATCGGGGTGGGTCTTTTTCACATTCGTTCTGCATCGTTGATGGTTTACTAGTAGTACGCTCAGGTCCTACTGCGTGTTGTGTCGACTTTAAACACACTTGGTGCCTATAACACGAGGAATTGGGTGATCTTTGAGGGTATTTCGGGAACTTTGGGTAGTGAAGTTTGAATAGATTATGGTGCTGTGTGAAGGAGTAGCAAGTGTTTGAAGTTTCAACTGGAAACTTGGTGTTGGATTCATTAAGGTGATAAAGATAATTTGAAATTCTGTTTCTGATTTCAACCAAGACCCCATTTATTTTAGTTTTAAAATTGAATTCCCAAGAATTTGAGATGGATAGGATTACTGTTTTATTAGCATCTTAATGTTTGTTTCTACTGTACACATAAGTCTAAATTAAATCGCATTCTACAGGCCTTGTAAATCAACTTGTAGTTTCCGGTGTGGAAAGAAATTTAAAATGGTTTACGATGACAGAGTGAGTGGGTAAGCCAATTGTAAAAAAAATTGAATGAATAAAATTAAGTAATAATAAAAATTGATGAGGGGGGGGTTTGAATTTGTAGTGGATTGGTGGCTGGCTGGCTGGCACAAATCATTAATCTATTGGGTGATTGGATTTCAACTTGGATTAATGTTGCTAATTTTGACGGATTGATCAAAGGACCATGATTTCTCTGTATCGTTTTAATTTTATCGGATGTCTCCGAAGAGACAATTGATCAAATAATTTTAAGATTAATTTGTAATAGTTGTTTGGCGCATGATATAATTATTCTTCTTGACATGGGACCATTGGATTTCTTTTGATCATGTGCGTGTGATATGATTAAATAGATTAAATCTTGACGAACAAAGATGAATTGTTTTTTTTTGATCGATCAGGGAATTCTATATGCCTATAATCTTATTTTGGATAAGAATAAGACTGCAAGCCGTCTTTTTATTTTTATGAAGTATGATTTCATTCATTTTCTTGTTTCTACATTATTGCGTTGGTGGTGGTCTTGGTTTCCGTCAGAGGCTCACCTTTTTAGCATTGGTGCATGGTAAGTAACCTCAATGCCATATACGCACGATTTTGTAGCATGTCTTTGTACGTTTGTATACCCAAACATTTTTTTTAATCTGTTATTGCATAGTGAATTGATGATAAAATTAACTTTTTTGTCGATAGGGGATAGGGAGACCGATCGATATTGGTTGGGCAAATTCCATTCAATGATAAATAAACTGGCAACTAAACTATATTGTTCTCCGACGTATGGATTCGAATCATCCATTGTGGCACCAAGAGATTCGAGTTCGTACAAAGAAGCCTTAGAAGAGGACGTTAAGTACTCGAATACACAGAATGTTTTTAAGAGACCTTAGAGAGCCCTCTTATGTTTGACAATTTTCCTTTTTATCCATTTTATTGACTCCATTGTTGGCAAATATCATTTAGCTGTCCAAAAAAGAGGAAACCCTATATTCTTATTGTCTCTTCACCTCTTTTCACGTTTCTTGGTTTACCAAGTTATTATGCCCTAAAAACAAGGATAAACTTGGTGCAATAATCAAACAATCTTACCAAAATCCAACCTAAACTGGAGATTTGCCTAAAGATCTAATATTCTACCCGAGTTGTTGAAGACATCCAAGGAAAATAAATCCAGCACATTTTGAGTCCCTAAATGGGATAATAAAGCTGCTAAACAAAGTCAGATTTGTTATGAATCCCACAACAAATAGTAGCTGCAATGGCTAAATAGTGGTGGTCTTTCCTTGATAGCATGGTTAGTCCTTCCTCAGCTCCATTAGCTCCTGCCGGATACCCGATGCATTTATAACCATGATTTCCACTTTATCTCCCTGCAAAAAAAACAAAAAAAAAAACAATTGGTGTAAATAAAATGATGGACCTGTAATTGCTCAAGGAGAGCAAGGGAAATCCTCTAAAAACTTGATAAGCATACAGTATATATGTCTCTCTCAGTCGCTGATGCAAAAACATCTTTCACCAAATCGACTGCCTCTGTTTCCGACAAAGGTGTGACGGCATCCTGCTCAATCATGTGAGGCTTGTTATGCTACCGAAGACGATCCCTGTCGTGAAACCCAAACCAATTCTATTTTTAAGCAAGATTTTCTATACCTTGGCAGGTAATAGTAGAGGACTTGGAGACTTAAGCTGGTTGTCCAGAACAGGAATGATGAGTCCTGCGCCCGTGCCTTGGGCACTGTATCCGACTCTCTCGTAAGATCCAACTGCATCATATGTGTAGACACAGCCCTTTCCTGAAACAAACATCACCATGATGGTCAGATTCTAATATATTCAGGTACATGTTTTAAGAAATAAGCACAAGTGAGAATTCATACCATCACTGTCAAGTCCACCTAGGATGTTGAAAGTATAGTAGGGGAAAAACCGCTTGTAGTAAAGGGTATTTGACAGAAGCTGAGCCATGGCAGGACAGCTCATTTGTTTGTTGTGCTGATGCTGATAGATCTGCAGTGTTAGAAATATCAGCAAGTAATTCCAGGAATCATGCTGATAGATTCTTTTCTAAACAGTAACTAAGGATTCAAATTAACCATTTAACTTGGGGATCTTTCTACTTCAAAATTCCTAGCCACAGATGCCATTATGTACAAATATGATATATTTCTGGTAAGGAAAGTGATCTCCATTTATTAAGAAAACAGTAAACATACTAATATAGTCCACAATCAACTCCCTGCATTAGAGAATTCTACCACCTTTTCTCTTGTGATCAACTTTCACCTTTCAGAAGATGGGAACATTTTGCAACTGATTAGGCAGATGATGTTGATACAATCATGACCATTATCTAGTGACTACAAATGCTGAG